AATGGATCTTAATGATGATTGGAAGCTTTCCAGAGAAGAGGTGAAAAGGCGAATGCATTCTACATTTGTGTGTTAATGTATTTAACAGGAAAATAAAAAGTTAGGTTTTGCTTCCCTTGAGGTTATGCTTTGCAACTGTGACATTTGTAAGTCTTTACTGTGGTGTTGTGAGCTGCCGCAGATTGAGAAATATTACAGTTCCAATTTCCTTTTACACACTCAAAACTGGTGCTCTCTGTGCAGAGAGCTATTCAAGGTGCTGATTTTAAAATTCAGTAAGTACCGTATTTTGTGCCCCATAAGGCGCACCTAGTTTTTTTGGGGGGAAATAAAGAAAAATATTTTTATTTCCCCCCCAGGCGCAGGGCTGGGGCGGGGGAAGCCCGAGCTTCCCCCGACCCCAGCCCCCAGAACAGGCTGCTCTGCGCAAGCCGTGGGAGCCCTCCTGCAGCTTGCGCGGAGCTATCCGAAGCCCCGGCGCGTCCTGCTGAGCGCGCCGGGGTTTCGGGATAAGAGGCAGCTCCGCACAAGCCGCGGGAGGACTCCCCCGACTTGCGCAGAGCTATCCGAAGCCCCGGCGTGACTGCTGAGCGTGCCGAGGCTTCGGGATAAGAGGCAGCTCCATGCAAGCCGCGGGATAGCTCCCGCGGCTTGCGCAGAGCTTCCTGAAGCCTGGAGAGCGAGATGGGTCGGTGCGCACCAACCCCTCTTGCTCTCCAGGCTTCAGTGAAAGCCTGTATTCGCCCCATAGGACGCACACAGATTTCCCCTTCATTTTTGGAGGGGGAAAAGTGCGTCCTATAGGGCGAAAAATACGGTATTTGTAGTGCAAAGGTTACTTGTGCCTGCCTTTCTGAGTGGCAAAGAAAGGGACATTATTTCTAAGATTCTACAAATAACACTGCAGGGGGGAAAAAGAAATCCTCTTCAGTAAATTAAGTCTGTTTTTGGAAATAATTGCTGCATTACTCTTTTACTGATTGCATCTTCTGGTTTTAGAGTTTCCAAACAAAATTGGCATTTTCTTTGACAACAGTAATCACAGTGAGGCTGCTTCCATTTTCAGCTAACTACAGTTTCATTGACAAATGTTTGTGGTTGCCGCTACCTAGGTAGGGTTGTCATATATCCTCTTTTTTCCAGGATACTTTCTCTTTTTTATGGTTAGAGTCGTCATAGCGATCCATAGTTAAAAGTAGAAGTTGGGAAACAATAATGTCTTGACAAAAGAAACTGACCTGTAGAAAATGTAACTTGAAAAAAGAGACGTTGCACGTACTTTTGTAAACCAATAAATCTTTAATAAAAAATACATTTTTTTAAAAAGGCAACCCTAACTATGGTTTATATCTAGAAGGCATCTACCACAATTTGAAGTGCGCATCGTTTCAATCAACCGTAGTTAGCACTAACCACTGTTTGTCCAAGTTTGGACGTAAGAAGAAACTGTGGTTAATTGAAAATAGAGTCAAAAGCCTCTGATCTCCTTTGCAACCATATTAGGGAGAAGGAGTGTGCAAACCTGAGGCTCACACGTGACAGCTAAATCTCTTCTGTGGGCCCTTACCTATGAAATTTGATCATGGAGAAAAGCTAAATAGGCACCTTCACTGATCTTCTTTGAAAAACAATAACTTTGAAATGATATATTTTTAGAATGCCTACAGAGTTTAAATTGAGATACTGACTAACGGGACTATTGCCCAGGGCTAGGTTTTTTCCAGGTTTATTAAAATCGTAGAATTGTAGAGTTGGAAAGGGTTGTCTAGTCAAACCCACTGCAGCGCAGGAATCTGTTGATTAAATGCAATGTTTTTTTAAAAAAATTGTTGCTATATTAACTGATTTGATGGATCTTATGGATTGAACACTGCTTTGTGAGCTGAAAAAGAGTGCAGAAGGCTTTAAAATAAAAATGTGTTCAGTGTTTCATGTGAACACAGCCAGTTCCGTTGATTGTAAAATCCATTTGGGAATGCTACAGCTGTTGCTTTGCACAGATTATTACTACCTGCACTGAACATACTAGAGAGGATGGGCCATTTTACATTGGCTTGCTTTCTCATATCCAACAGATACGTAATGATTAAAAGGTGTGGTTTTTTCCTTGTCTTATTCCATAGGTAAAAGTATACTTGAAGAATGAATTTGAAAGGCATGGTGCACCAGTCAATGACAGCCACCACGATTCTTTAGTTGAAAACATATTTGAGAAGGAAGATGAAGACAGCGATGGATTTATATCTGCAAGGGAGTTTGTGTATACACATGATGAGCTATAAAACATTTTGAAGCAATTCCCAATGAGAAAGTAATGACTGGCAACCTGATGCTTCAAAATTTATAATATATATATATATTCTATTTGGAGTTGCCTGTTACTCATGGGCGGGGGGAATGTGTTGCTCATTTTTCTACTTGAACTACTATTGATACAAAACATTGAGACTTGTTTTTATAAAGTGGGGGCATCTGTTCAAATGATACTTTAATAGGAAAGCTCTGTGCATTTATTTATTTAGAAAACTATGAATAAAAAAAACAGTCTCTGTTTATTATTACTGCTTATAAGTACACTCCAACACTGTTCTCCCCCTACCCACTCTTAAATTCAAACTTTTCTAGCATTTAAGTATTTGGTCTATTTTCTTGTGTTCTGTCAAGAAGCTATTGATTTTTTTAAAAAACAAAACAGTATTAATATTATAGTGCATCCCTATGCATGTCTGCTCAGGTAAACACCATTGAATTAAATCAAATGGGACTTATTTCTGGTTAAGTGTGCTAATTATTGCAATTGTAATCACTTATGGTGAAGTGTGTCTCGCTATTTTAATTGTTCCAAGTGGCTTGCCTTCCTAAGCCCCTTTGTGCTTAGGATGAAACACACTGACTATATCATTGCAATCTCTTTCCCATAAAGCAGCAAAAAAAGGACAATAGAGCAATTAGCAATGCTGAGTTTTGGGTGTGGCAGCAGTTTGGAGCTCAACACCTAACTTGCCCATGAGAAATAACAAGCTTTCCTCCAATCCCTTTGATATAAGCACCAGTTGTTTGCTTGTCTTGTCAATAAGGCTATCCTTAGTTGATCTATCCCATGGGTAGGCAAACTAAGGCCTGGGGGCCAGATCCGGCCCAATCGCCTTCTAAATCCGGCCTGCAGACGGTCTGGGAATCAGTGTGTTTTTACATGAGTAGAGTGTGTCCTTTTATTTAAAATGCATCTCTGGGTTATTTGTGGAGCATACAAATTCATTCATATGTTTTTTCCAAAATATAGCCCTTCGCTAACACCTGAGCCCTTTATTTGTGAAGCTCCTGTTCACAATATACTTGGCAAGCCTTTTAAATCCTGCCTTTCTGCTCCTTTTCACTGTGACCTTGTCAGTGTAGGATAGCACCTATGTTAAAATACATTCAGGTAATGTTTGAATTCTGTTTGACACAGGAGCTGGGAGATTCCCCCCACCTTAAATGGATCTAGTTTTGCATCTTAAAAGGAGGAATTTTGGCAACCCGAGCTACATTAAGTAGCAGTGCTTCTCTCCAAAACTGCCTACTGTATTTGACATACCCGCCTCCTGATACTATTTTTGTGTATGTTAGAAGAAAAATTACATGCAATCTTAGTGGCCTCATTTTCACATCACAATAGCTGATTTGTCATAAACATGGTTCCTGTATGGCTCTCCTGCCCTCAAAACAAGTGATGTCTTCTTTTCTGAACATGGTCAATGGTTTGTTTCAAACAAGCCACGAGCAGCAAGTCAGAAATAAAACCAAGAACAAATGTTGGTTGGTTTCTGGTTTGTCACTTGTGGTTTGTGTGCAACGTACTATGGCTGGTTTGAGGTGTGTGCGCATAGCCACACAAGTGAACCATGGTTAAAATAAGACAAACTGATTGTACTGTAGCCCCTCCAGACAGCGATAGCCAGATGGCATTGGGGAAGCACAGCAGAACAAACCCACCAGCAATGCACTATTATCATGTCAAGAACATGTGAAATAAACCTGCAGCAATAAAACACCACAGCCTAGAGGAGCCCACAGTGACTTAAGTGTTGGTTGAATGGAGCTCACTGTTATCATCAGGTGCATGGAAGCGTTTCCCTCTGGTAGATACAAAGGATCAAAGACCATGAAATAGAGGTCAGCCACCAGGGCGTGCAATTTTAGGGGGGGCGAAACTTGTGCAAATTTCTTCAGTGAGGGGTCTTAAAAACGTGTTTTGGGTGTGAGGAGCTCAAACCTGCTATTCTTTGTGTGGCTGGATGACATTTAGCTTGGTAAATCTACGTTTGATTAAAAAAACATGTAAACTCTTGGAAAACCAAATGATACCTTCTGAAAAGGTCAGGTAATGCTATAAAAAATAGTTTCTCCTTACATGGGTGTGTTTTTAAATACGTATCCCCCCCCCCCGCCAGTTAATGCATCTGATGAAATGAGCTCTAATCCAAGCTTATCACAAGAAATGTGTGAGTCCTTAAAAGTGCCCTGAGACCGTTGCTCTTCATAGGAAACCCTGCAGTGCTCTTAAGAGAGGGATGCTTCATCATAGCTGTCAACGTTTCCCCCCTTTTAAGGGGATTCCCTTATTCCGAATAGGATTCCTCGCAAGAAAAGGGAAAAGTTGACAGCTATGTGCTTCATGGCGGCTCCCGTCGTTCGTTGGTTTGAGGCTGCGGGGCTGTTTCCAATGGCCACATCACTGCCAAACCGACTCCGGCATTGCAAGGAGCTAAGCAGCAGCTCGAGCTCCTCCTAGCCGTCACCTCAGTTGCGGGAAGTCGGCGTCCCTCTGTGCATGCTCAGAGGCGCCCTTCTCAGGGTTCCATCACCCAGCTCCGCCCCCGCTAGCCGGACCCGAAGGGCTTCTTCCTCGCAGCCGTCCTTCCCCGGGCCAGCGGAGGGATACTCCAGACGCCCCTTTCCGGCCAGAAGACCCTCCCGCTTCCTCGTCTCGCCTATTCCCACGGCTGCAGCTGCACGCCCGCTAGGCGGAGCCCCGCGCAGACGCGACGGCGCTGAGGCGCGAGGAGGCAGCGGCGCCTGCTGGCTCCCTCCCTGCTGGCAGGCCGCTCACGTGAGCCGGAGCGCAGCTGTTACCTGGGAGGAGAGGCCGCCGCCTGCTCGCCCTCACGCAGACGGAGCTGCAGGCGGAGGGAAGCCCGAAGGGAGCAAGCAAGCAAGCGGCAAGGTGAGGTCTCTCTACCTCTCTCTCTCTCGCTCCGGGGGTGTCTCTTTTTGGGGGTTTGTTCCTCTTCGGCAGCCACCGTTCCTCGACTGAGGGAGGCGGCGGCGCCGCCGCTTGCCAAGGTCTCTCCCATCGCAGCGAGGCGGCCTCAAGGGCGCACCTGGAGGTCTCGGCAGGTGCGCTGCTGCTGCTGCTGCCTCCGCCGCCTGCATGGGGAGCCGCGGCCAGGGCTCGCCGAGGATGCGCCTTTTCTTCTGCTCGCTGGCCTCTCTTTTTTCGCAGGTGCAGCCATCGAGGGATTCTGCAAAGAGGCAGGTCACCTCCTAGCTTTCCCATCCCCCCCCCTCATGCACATGCACACAAACGCTTTCCCTCTCCTCCAACCCAGAAATCAGGAGAAGGAGCTCTAGCAGAGGTACCAATTGAATAAAATGGGGGGGGGGCGGCGGCTCAGGTAAACCCCACCCTGCATAATCGATCGCAAGATGCGGCTCGCACACACCATTTGAATGGCAATGCCCATCCCTAAATATTTTACTGGGGGCCCAAAGGGATGTTGGCCCCTAGGAGTTGGCTCCTAGGAGCTCTAGGGCCAGGTCTCCCCCCCCCCAGGCAGAACTCACCAGAACTGAGTTTCAGCACCTCTCAGGTGGGTGGCCTTGCCATTTTAAGAGAATGAGGTGAGTTCCAACACCTTTTCCTTAAAAAATAGCACTGTCTAGGGCTACCTCTCCCTTGCCCCTCGATCTTTGCACTTGATGACTCATCCCTGGGCTCCTCTCTCCACTGCATGTGTTAGTGGCCTCCCCCTGGACCACGATGGCCGCTTCACACAATCGCTGGATTGTTGCAAGCTCTGCGCTGGATGGAAAGAGTTGCCACCTCACCCCAGACCTCCCAGACCTTTTGCCCCTGGGTGTGTAGTGTCCTCCCTGGGGGAACAGAGTCTTAATTTGCTCAGGCCTGTAGATACTGCATCTGATATTTTTTGGAGAGGCGGAGGTCCTTGGATGCTGCGAGGCTTTGGGTGTATAACTGAAGGGCAGGTGCATATTGCTGAGATGCTGTAGTGGAGTGGAGCTGTATCTGTAGAGATGCTTGCAGGGTGGAAATGTAGGCTTGCTAGCTGTAGTAACTCCGTTGCTGCTAAGTTCCTGAGCTGTTTTAACTGCCCGTTGCCCCAGTGTGTCTTCCTGCACTTCTGACATTTGCCATCCATCTTCTGTGACCTTAGATCAGTTCCACTACTTCTTCCTGTGGTTTTCTGGCAATTCCTGTCTCATTTACAAAGGTTTAACAGGTGATGTCTATCTAGAATCTAGTGTGAAGTATAATATGGCTGCCTGCTATATATAGTCTAGCCTTTGTGCTTCATCTGACTCATGGAAATCATTTCTACAAACTTGCTTTTCATTGTGGCCCCTGGCTCCTTCCTATTTTAAATATGAGCGTGGGTAGTAATAGTGAATAGTAAAGTGAGATTTTGCTGCGATCTGTTAATAATGCATGGTTTTCTTTTCTAAAATTGCGAATACCGGAACATGAACTGAAAGTAGGTTTATCACTGCCTGGTGGGGTTTTTTGTTTTTAATAATTGCAAGAAATGCACCTGCACAGGTGGTCTTTTGGGGACTTTAATTCAAAAGTTCTTCAAGGCTAAAGTATTGGGCTTTACTGAAATGTTTTCTCCCTCTGTCCATTGTTTGATCTACTTACATAAAATAACAAGCTTTCAGCTCAAGGTTATGGTTTTGAAATGGCATTGTGGGTTTTGGAGATTCATGTGCATCTTCCTTTTCACAAAATGGTGTTTTCTGGTTATTTTTAGATCTTCATGATCTGTAGTTTAAAGCACTATTGGCCTTTGTGTAGCTGTGCTGCCCTGTAAGGCAAGACCTTGACATTTTAGTGGGTTTCTAGACTGACCCCTGAACTACTCAGCTGCATAGGCCTAATGGGCTACCTCTGTATAAGTGCCTGTATAAGTGTCCATTATAGTTTCCTTCTCAGTTAGATTCTATGAGTGCTTTTGCCTGGATGGAATGTGTCCCTTGATCTCTGATAGTCATAGTGCCCTTTGCTTGCCTGGATAGAGGACAAGATGGGTGTGTGTAGAAGCTAGCCTACTAGCTCCACCCACTTTTGCCTCTGGCCCCGCCCATCACTGGCATGTAAAATAAGGGAATGTGGCTTTCAGTATACATTGGTACCTTGGTTTAAGAACAGCTTAGTTTATGAACAACTTGGATTAAGAACGCTGCAAACCCAGAAGTAGATGTTTTGGTTTGTGAACTTTGCCTTGGAATAAGAACATGTTTCGCTTCCTGTTGAGTGTGTTCCATTTGTAAATTGAGTCCCCCGCTGCTATGGGAAAGCATGCCTTGTTTAAGAACGCTTTGGTTTAAGAACAGACTTCCGGAACAGATTAAGTTCGTAAACCAAGGTACCACTGTAATTATTTCTGGTGGCTCATATGGAGAAGATCCTTGCTGGAATCGGCACCAGATTTAGGGAGGTGTGGGTGGTTTCTCTGCACAGGGTGCCAAGCCAAGGGGGTGCATATTATTACTATTATTATTATTATTGTTGTTGTTGTTGTTGTTGTTGTTGTTGTTATTATTATTGTTATTATTATTGTTATTATTATTGTTATTATTTATTATTATAAATTTTAAAACCTGATATTTATGCAGGTACCCACAGAAAGAGACATAAAAAAACAAGTATACCAAAATGAAGGGATTTTTGTGTGTGTGAGAGAGAGAAAATAAGAAATATTTAAAGGGGAGGGGTGCCAAATTTTGTCCTCGCTTAGGGCACCATATTACCAAAGTCCACCCCGCTAGAATTGTTGCAGAGCTGCTGCTAGATTCTTTCCACACTGTATTTTTATCAGGAGGGTAACAATGCTTATAGTCTATAAACACCTTTCACTAATGTATCCCAAAATTGTTCTTCCTGCCTTTTTTTTGCAGCAGTGGCTTTTATGCAGCTTGAGATAGAGGAATCGCCCCATGTATTGTTCCATAGCCATAATTTTCCAGCTAAATTACAGTTAATAAATGTTGTTTGGTACCACAGTGATCAAGGTTTTGCAGGTGTGCATCCTATGGCATGTGTTGTGTTGTTATCACACAGTGGCATCGCTCCATGGAGGTCTCATTGAGACACAATCTGCTGAAGGCTATGGCATTCTGGCAGAGGTTATTGCCAGACCCCTGGTGAGTTGGCTATGCATGAGAAAACTTTGTTTCTACTTTACAAGAACTCATGAGGGTTCACCAACTCCTGGTTGTGTGAACCTCTTGTTTGAGCCAGTGGCATCATGGGAGGTGAGGGGGTGTAGACTATTTATCCAAAGCATTTTTACACCACCACCCCCCAATGCCTCTCGGAACATCTTATGTATGTTTAACAAAAGCGGGGGGGGGGGGATAGTGGCAGGGATAGAAAAGGGTAAAGGTAAACTCAGGCACCAATTATTAAATAGCAGTCCATCTAATGGCCAGCTAGGATGGGGGAGCCAATTATAGCTGTCTCCCAGCAGAGCCAATGGGGTGACCCTGATTCCCATCACTTCCTCTGTTGCAATCTGGTAGAATTGCTTGCTGCACTTTGTGAGTCATACACTGGGATGACTGGCCTATATATGCAAATAAAAATCTGCATCTGAATTGTTGAACATCTGGAATTTGAACAGATTATTTTTAAAAACCTTTTTGTTGCTGCTCTTCATGTATAAAATAAAATGCCGTATTTTTCCTCTATAAGACGCTGTGTGAACTTATATTTTACTATTTTACTCTATAAGACGCCCCCTATTTTGGGGGACTCAGGTTTAAGAAAATGGGGGGAGATATATCCGTGTATAAGAGGTCCCCTTAATTTTTGACATTATTTTTTAGGGGGGAAAGCCTAGTCTTATACATGGAAAAATACGGTAAGATTAGAAGTCAGACTCTTCTTGTCCACTGCAGATCATCTAGTGATCTAGCAAACGAAGGTAAATTATCTTTTGCCTCTCCATAATCTAAAGAATAGTGAGAACTCCATGTCTGACCCCACTATCACAGAGCATTGCAACCTCCTTGAACTCAGACCATTGGGAACTACAGAAGCATTCGGTTGCCCAGCAACATCTCCTTTGCAGTTCAAATGTAGCATTTCAAAGCGTGTAAGACTGAGACAAGCCATGGCTTAGCACAGATGTACAGGCTCTTGGAATGGAGATTACAGGCATTTTGCTGCTTCTCAGCTCGTGCTCTTGTGAGCTAGGTCTATCTTAGCTAACATGTCTTCTGACATGGCTGGCTTGTGATTTGCCTTGAACTTTAAACAAAGAGCAAAGATTGGTTGCAGCTCATTATTTATCTGGAGCAAAACAAACCATGAGCCCAGGTTCATAATGCATGCTAAGCCAAACCATGGTTTAGCTTGCCACAAAGCACCAGAGGTGGAGCAGAGCTCCCAGGGAGACTCACCTAACACCTTCATTGCATATCTTCAGCCAGAAATGTTCCTCTTTCTCTCAGGCCTTTGGCTAATTAAACAATCTACAGTGGTACCTGGGGTTACATACGCTTCAGGTTACATACGCTTCAGGTTACAGACTCCGCTAACCCAGAAATAGTACCTCGGGTTAAGAACTTTGCTTCAAGATGAGAACAGAAATTGTGCTCCGGCGGCGTGGCAGCAGCAGGAGGCCCCATTAGCTAAAGTGATGCTTCAGGTTAAGAACAGTTTCAGGTTAAGAAGGGACCTCCGGAACGAATTAAGTACTTAACCCGAGGTACCACTGTATAGCCTTTTAAACTGGTGTGTGTGTTGTTGTTTGTTATTATGTTATGTATTTTTGTGTTTTTATACTGTAAACTACCCCGTGATCCTCAAATGAAGGGTGGTATATAAATTTAATGAATAAATAAAATAAATAATAACAAAAGTGGGTGTGGCTTAGCGCAGACGTGGGCTCCTAGAGAGGAATTTTCAACCACTTTGCAATA